GAGTGGAGAGGAATGAAAGGCAGATAGACAGTTTCTCGATTTCTCTATCTAAAAGTGTGTCACCCCATACAAATAATGTAATATTCATCAGCACACAGGCTCAAACCTGAATCATCTGCATTCCTCATTCAGCCCTGACTGATGTTATAGAGTCTACAAAATCTATATGAAAATATTTCTTAGATCAGCTAAAGTGGAGTAAATTCTATCAGGAAAAAAGAAACACACACACACAAAAAACAAACAAACAAACAAACAAACAAACAAACAAAACCCTAGCATGTCTCACTTGCCAGGAAACAGCTCTAATAACCTCTGAACTCAACTGCTTGGATAAAAGTAAAACTCTGAACACTTTTGTCTTCGCTGGCCAATGAAGTTCATAACTGTCTGTGTCAGGATGGTTAGGTTTCCTTTGCACCTTCTGAAAAGTTATCTTTTGGATTCTCCAATGCTGGATGATAGCCCTGGAATCTTGAAGGGACATGTACAAGAAGAGACTATTCTTCTCACAGCTCCATCCAGAAGACAGAAGATGAAGGACTTGAAGCACCAGTAGGAACATCTACTCCCTCAGGTTTCCAGTTTTTTAATTCCTCAAATTGCATTCAACTGTCTATCGTATCTTATTGCCATATCTAGATAATATTTTACTCTATCAGTATTGCTATTTCTTACTCTTATTTTAGCAGCTTAAGAAGGCTATGTTCAAAGATTTGAGCAACACGGCAACAACTGGACACAGCAGTGTCAACACTGTTGAATAAATAAATAAAGTCTGCCAAGCAGCAGCTTCACACCAATGGCAGGTAGCAAGTAATCTTATTAATGTCAAACAGTTGTGGCCAGTAGGCAGCAAGTAAGAGAAAGAAAAATCAAGCAGAACAAAACCCAGACAATCCTCTACTAGAAGAACTGGCTAGTAAGGATCTTATCACTGGAGACCAAATTGTTATGGCTGGTGTCAATATCATCAGCTTAGTGTTAGTTCTAAACGTTTTTCTTTTTTTACTTACTCTCACAATTTTCTTATGCCTGACAGACAAATTTACTGGAAGACCACTCCCTCTGTCTTCAGTACACATCCCCCTACACCTCTGCAGGTGTTTTGAGACACACAGCTTAAGGAAGCCTCATTTTTTAGATTTTCTTAAGCTATATAAAAGACCTATGGAACTTGCAAGGAGCAAATAATACAGCATTACACTGAAACTGCCACACTAGGTCTCCTTCAGCAGCATGCCTTCAGCAGTAACCCTAGTAGAATAGTAAGAAACAGTATTTGGGGGTTTTTTTTGACTGATAGTGTCCAAGGCTCCAAGCATTTTCAGTCTTAATAATCCAGGTGTGCCTCTATCTGTTTAGTCACCCTCAATGGATGCACGGACACGTCCATTCTCTCTTTGCAATCCCATAAACTTTCAATAGTTAGCCCCCTTGCTAGCATAACAAAAACTTTTATATTCCAGGAACTAAATGACTGATGCGGACAATAGCAGTGCTCAAACTCTTCTCCTCTCTCAGTTCAGCTCAGTTCAGTTCAGCTCATCTATCTGTCTGGAACCTACTTAACAAACCCTGCAGAGAAGTGACCTTTACAACCCAGCTCTCAGAAAAACAAGTTTCATTCTTTAGAAATATACCAGATGAAAGTTACTGAAAAATAAAACTTAGAGGAGGATATCCTTGGATCTTGCTACAAAAGCTGCATACCACTTTCACCACAAGCTACACCATCTTAACACCGTATTCTGCTATCAAAGTATTCAGTGTATTTTTAGGAACGTATTGTAAAGAATTCCAGCAAGTGCTCTTAATGTTCTTTTGTTTGGCAAGTGACAGTACCCTCCCTCCATGGTTAAGACAGCAAATTACCAGACACCCTAAAGAATGCAATGGTCTAGCCAAACCTAGAAAAACCTACTTTTAACACCAGTGGCCTCGCCAACTACCACTCCGTTTCCAACCTCCTCTTCCTTGGCAATGTCTTTGTGAAGGTAGTGGCATCCAAAAGCTAACAGCACCTATCCCTTGCCAACGCTCTGGCTCCTTGACATACAGGCATCAGACCAAAACACGATAGAAGAACAAACCCTCCTGGCACTGCCAGTCCGCGTACTCCTGGCCTGAGACCGAACACAAACCTCAGAGTGGATATCCTCTGGGGCTCTGACAGAAGAGACTGCCTGGTTCCAATAATAAGACTCATGTGAGGTTTAATAAGAAAGAATAGGACAGCAGTCCTTTTCCCAGACAAGCTGAATGGAGTGCAACTCCCTCTTATTCTCCTGCACAGCCCCAGCAGTCTTGTATTCTGTGGTCCCACAAACCTCAACGCTTTCTCCCTGCCAGTTTAACCCCGAGATATTATCACACAGGGAAGCTGAATGATACTAGAAGTTCATGTATCCTCAAATAGACAGATGACATTCAATTATGCTTCTGTCTCTGCTTAAATGAAAGGTTTCAAGGGAAGCAAGGCACAGCTTCCATTTTCTGTCCCCACTTGGCAGCAGATAAAGGACTAACACTGCCAGCAGTGACTCCAAAGCATGAGAAAGTGTTATGCTCAAATTTCGAGCAGAAAGTTTCACGATGAAACCAGCAACAGATTTCTCTGCCCTCCCCCTCTACCTTCTGGGACACTGCAGTTTGTCAAAAATTGGGGCATCTGGTTTGGCAAGGCTGCCAAAAGAAAGCCCATATAGCTCGTACGCTGCCCTCCCCAGGGCTCTGTTGCTGGCAGCGAGACTACTCCTTGCTGGAACAGCCTGGGGTTGAGTCTGGGTGTTGGTGAGACTGGACCCACTAGAGGATCTGATTCTCACTTGTGAGAGAGATCTACTTTCTACTCCAAATGCTAAATGGTACTTTAAAAACAGAAGATGTTGAAAGTGAGCTTCCAGACCCTGCCTTCAGCTTCCCAAACCCAGGGGCTACAAAGGATCCTTCAAAATTACAAGGAGTAATGCATCTGGCTTTTCTTTCACTCACAAACAGAGATATTCTGAAACAAAAATAAACACTCTACAGTGAAATGCTCCAAGTTTTACAAAATTATGGTTATCTGTGAGGAAACTTTTCAGGCTTGTTTTAGGTGTAAATTTGCTGGTTTGGGTTTTTAAAACACTATCCAACATAATCTATGTCATATATTTAATAGAGAAATAAAAGCCTACTCATAACATCCCACACAGTTTGGAGAGAAACATCATCAAAGTCTCCAGTCAAAAGTTATTTCAAGCCTACATCATCGCTGGCAAAAAAAAATCACACTAAAAAATCACTGAAAAAAGACCTTACCCTGTTATTTGATTTGTTCTGCCCTCATACCTCTAAAACATACCTGCAAACTTCCAGTATGTTTCTGGTTTTTATGTTATAGGAATATGGCTTTTTGTATAATGATCTATGATGGTTCCTCCACTTTTGGGTACTCATATGCAACACACATGACATATTCCACTGCATGCAGAGAAAACTTCTATCGTATGCATAGCACAAAACTGTACAGCCACAATGCAGGCTGTTTTCCCTAATGTTTGGACAGATCCAGAAAACATTCACGTGTATGTAACAGCCCAGCATCACACAGTTACTCCTTGGTTAGAGCGTGGATCATTTTGCATTTAGAGAAAGAGCAAACTGAGTTAGTTGCACCCTATTTCAGATAGACCCTTCTTCTGGGAGCCAAAATGAGAACATATAGCATCACGGTGGTGGCAGAAGTCACTCCTTGCTCACTAGGAAGTAATAGTATGTCTGTCATACTTGTTTGTCTTACTCTGATAAAATTCATAAAACAACAAAAGATTTACAAGATTTACTAGCACAGTTCAATTCATTAGAAGGTTGACTCCAAGAAAATACACAGAACCTTTAGTCTAAACAGTGTGGAATGGCAAAGTCTGGGTTTGATTGTCTCTTGAATTTTTATTTTTAGAGAATCTTTGAAAGGACTGTTTACACTGATATCTTCCTCAGAAACATTTGAAATGTCACCAGCATGACCCATTAACAACATCTTCAAAAACTGCTCTGAGCTGATATGAAAAATATAAAAAGATGAACACATTTGCGTTGTATAATGCATGTATAAAATAAAAGTAAAGAAGCTAATAGCTCAGATCATAGACTTTAGAGGTAGGTTGACTGGGTTTTGTCTGAGATAAAAGAATAATTGCAGCATTTGAAGGTTTTTATAAAAGTACATTTATTTGGGATCTTGTCTCCCTACTCCTCTGCCCATCCGCACTTAAGAAATTCTAAAAACCGGGAACTCAAAGAAAAATTCCTTAGATTAAATGGATGTTGATGAAACTACAACTAAGGTATTGTCAGTTTAAAAGAACTAACATAATCACTGCTTTTCCTGATTATATGTACTTACCAGTGCAAAATAGGTTGCTGACCAATTATGCTCTCTTTAACTATTAACAGTGGTATCTTTGTTCTCAAACAATCTTAGATGCACATGTTCTGGAACTTATATTTACCTGGTGGATTCTTGGCAGGATCATTGTGGCTTGGACTTCCTGGTTGTCCAGAATCTATAAAGAAATGAAAGAAATGTTTTACTAATTTGCTTTGAAAGTATCTGACAACCTTTTAATACCCTCCTTCAGTATTTAACTAATACTTAACTTTGTTCTTTAAAGGTCATTTCCCTGACTTTCTACATGAAGGCATTATTGAACAAATACACTATATGTAACCCATTTTATGCAGAAGCAAAAACATTGTGAAAGATGCAATGATCCTAGTAAAAGGAACTCATAGATCACTGAATAAGGACAAGAGAGTCATTTAGGTAAATACTCAAGTTGAAAACACATCTACAAGGGTACCTTTTCATTCCTGTTCCCTCCATGCCCCAAATATAACATTGCATAATCAGAAAAGCACAGGTAGTTTCTTCCCAGGCAACGACCAGAAAGATGTGCTGGATCAGGTAACTAATGGTATTTCCAGTGATGAGTCCTGTTTCTTTCCCCTTTCCTTAAAGCACAAAGGCCTACGCTGCTTCCAAGAGTCAGGACTGCACTGAAGATATGACTGTTCATTTTAATACAATATAGGCTTTGTGTTCCCGGTCTGTGAGAATTGTCATTGTGAAATGAAGGTTATGTAACATAAAAACTAACAAAAACCAAACCCTGTCGTCTTCAAAGAGTGTTATTTTCATGATATACGCACCGAATGAACCAAGAGGAGAATGCAATCTGACATTAACATGCTAAAGAATAAATGGTATCCTTGTTCATAAAAGCAGTTGCTTTTAAAACTATCTGGCTTTTGCTGCATTCCCACACCAATAATATAACAAAACCCTGCTCCGCTGCAAGAAATTGATATTAACAAAGTAAGACATGACAGACATTCTTGTATGCAAAGAGAATAAGAAATTACATGAAGCACAACCATTTGTTCTGTATACAGGTATCTAAAATGGAGCAGATATACAGTCTGAACAAAAAATATCCAGTTTTTTAAATGTAGCAGTGCTTGTTAGCAGCATAAGACCACCAAAAATTGCATCACAGCACTACGGAACTTGCTATTGCCAAATGGACCCCAGAGGGAGGTCGTAGTTCTTGAATGCATTACTACTTGTGGTGTCCAAATTAGGGAAAAAAAAAAGATAGAAAAGGATAAAAGTACATATGAGCAAATACTTGTCCTTCAATCTCCATCGTTTATCCTTAAAGCCAATGTAGCCCCTAACCTAGAATGAAAGATTCCCTCCACCTGCTACAAGTTCATTGAAATAAGTTACCACCAGTTACGTAGGGACAAACATGGTTTGACACAGTCTCTCAAACAGTTTAACAGAAGCTTGATTCTACAGAAGATATAAAACCCATTTCACAGTTCAAGTTCTACCGAATTCTTCTGAATTACAGTTTTCACAGAAGACAATCATCTGGGGATCTACCAGAGTATGGGAAGACCAAGAAAAGCCGGTTCTGAGGGTATTAAAAATAGAACTAAATTTTTCAATACTGAATGAAATCACTCTTGCACACAGTAAAATACACATTGGATGACAGCAAATTTCACACAAAATCTCCTCTGCCTTCTTCAGATCTGGGTGGGAAGAATGAAGGGCAGGCCTCTCGGTCTGATTCTGCACATCCCATGGATTAAGCACTTGGATACTCTTAAGAGTCCCACCATACAGCACAGGATGTAGCCATTAAGTAGGCCTGTTTCTTTTCATGATAAGATACAGCACATCCCTTTACAAAATCACATGAGGTGACTTTGAAAACTCGATGAGGTACAAGAAATGCTAAAAATACGATGTTTCTCTGCATATGGACCTTTACATGGACCAAGGTCCTTTCTCCGGTGTTGCAATGGGCAGATTCACCCTGCAGGGGGTGAATTTTAATATTCCTAATAGACATTCTCTGCTTCTGCAAACCATACACATTATTATTTAAGTTAAGATTATCAGAGAGGATTAATTTTACACAGCAATGGTCCGAGTGTAAAACTGCTGCAGATGTGTGGCTAAATGAAATGTCAATCTGGCAGCAGATGGACCCAATAAAGTTGGACAGTGTAGCTTGGGGAACACAGAGATCTGAAATTGGATTAATGGAGCCTATCAGAAAATAGTCTTTGAAGTTTTCTCCTGTTAAAATTCACTGAAAAGATGCTCAAAGTGAAGAACATTTTTTAGCTCTTGCACAAGAATTTGCCTTTACTCCTACTTTCTCACTGTCAATGTGGCCACTTTCTGGTTCCAGAGTTTAAAGACTGATGGTAGTTTAAACACTTTCTTTTCATATTTTAATAAGATAAACTCAGCAAAGAAGTTTCCAGTTATAGGGATAAGCAGTTGACTAGTTATTATAATTTGCTAGTCAGACTTTTACAGATTGATTCTCACACAGTGTTTTAAGCAGTAGATGCCACTAACATATTTGCCAGCAGGGTCTCAATGATCTTGAGAAAGCAAAGAGTTACAGTAAGCTAAATATGAGAAGCAATTTATATAACCCTTCACTTAAAGAAGTTGAGAAAGCAAGTTAATGTATTCTGTATGAGCGTATCAACCTATCTGCACTTAAAGGACATAGAAGTATCTCATTCTCAGGATGAAAGACGTGGACCTGAGATGGCCTGTGACAATCCAATTCTCTTACCAGTGTCAGCAATTATAAAGCACTCTCTTGATTTAATTGGATGCAAATAGCCTTGCAAAATACAAGAGAATCATGATCATTATAGGAATAAATCATATGAATAACTTAATTTATAAGCAGAACACTGAATGAAAAGAGACATTGGAGCAATGCTCTTCTAAGAGGGAGTAAGAGACATTTTTGGAAAGCCACAGAAAATCAGGAAGCAAAAGACATGTTAAGACACTTTAAATCTTTCTTTGTCCTCATCTGCACAAGATCATTAACAACATGAGCCTTGGATTTAAAAATCGCAAGCTTTTCTTCCAGTGTGATGGAGAAAGACATAAACCAGACTCATTGTCAGTCTAGCTGGCCTTGCATTCAATTTTCCCACCAAATAATTCTGTGCACATTAAAAACAAAACAAAACAAAACAAAACAAAAAAACCCACCCAACTACTTTCTAAGCTAGCAGTTGTAAGCAAAGCTATACAACTAGTAGCAAATAAAAGCCCATCATGTAAATGTGATGAAACTGATATTTTCGACATTTTCATTTAGGTAGCTCCCAAATGTAAGTTCTCTTAGTTTATTCTGGTTTGGTTTTTTTTTTTTTCTGTTTGTCTGTTTGTTTTAAAAACCTCCTTTTCAAATTTTACTGTCAATATGCTTTTCTTGGAAAAACAGTTCCACGCAGACCTCAGAAGCACTTGCTCTTGTTTGCTACAGAGCAAAAGCTCACCTACACGTACTATTTCCACAGAACGTCTTTCACGTGCATCTCACAACTACAGTGAGCGTGTCTTTTGCTCTGCTCTTATTGGTGCTGACTGCTCCAACAGTCAGCAGCTGATCCCTTGGTAAGTTATTGCCCCACAGATGAACAGTTTGCACAAGAACGGTTCAAGCCAGCCTTTGCTCTTATCTGCTAGATATTCACGTAACCCTGATACACTTTATGTTTAATTTACCGTGATTCAGCATGGCTACCATCGGGACATTCAAACTCTTCATCTCAAATTACTCCTTCTTTTAGAAGACAGTATGAAACAATGGGTCAAGAAGCACTGAATTGTCTCCCATGTTTTCGTTTCTAGGGGTCAATCCCACTGAGTATCTGTGAGTGCAGGCTACTCTCACTGCAGCCAGGGTTAAGTAAAACTGGCTGTTGGGGCCTGCTGCGAGTGAGGATAAAACATCATTTTCCTCTGCCATACTCCAGGAGAAAGGTGCTGCCACGATACATCACTCTTGGCTTCACAAGGCAGAGGGGAAAAAAAAAAAAGCTATTGGTTTGCGATCCAGCGAGGGACAAGACGCTCCCTCCCTTTGCACTACCTTGTCTTCGACAAGCAGTAGCACGAAGGGCACACACCCCAACAAAGCCAAGAAAGTCACATGCTGCTCACCAGCCTCCTGAGGGATTTTTAGTATTGCTCACCTTTCATTTTTCAGCTGACAGGAAAGGATATTGTCTTTAAAAAGTAAGTTATGCTGTGCCTCCCTTATGCCCCACACTGTACAAGGAATTTTGCTTTTCATGCTCTCTGCGTGAACATAGCATTGAAAGTCTTGAAAATGAATAGAGACAGAATCTGCTAAAAGAAAAAGTACTTTCTTGAGCCATATCTTAGAAATAAGCAGATTCTCCACAAGTGTCATACTAATCAACTAAAATTCCTCAGTGGTTTCAAAGAACACATTTCCCTTTTCATTTGCCACAGGCTAGGAGACAGCCTTTGCACTCGGTTAATCTCAGCTGACAGACACTAATTTAATCATTCACCAGCATGTAAATACACCCTTGTTCTTTGAGAGTCCATGATTTGCGTATGGGGGAGGATAAAGGCCCAGAGAGATGTGGCACCATGTAAGTATCAGTTTGATGCTACTCAAGCCTTCACATACCTGTACGGCATCTGACTTGACAACTGGCAGAGTCACTACCATGACCAAGAATCAAAACTACCTCCTGGACTGTCATCCTTCAGCATTACATTGTCGTCTGACATGATAAACTTCAGGCAAATGGCTGTACCTCTGAAAATGAGAGGACACCCCAGTCTGGCATGGATCTGGGGAGGTCTCCAGTCGCAGTCCCTGCCTAGGCAAAGCTCATCTGTGAGATCAAACTCAGCTGCTCAGGGCTTTACAAAACCAGGGCATGAAACTCCTCAAGGATGGAGACAGCCCAGCCTCCCTCGGCATCAGGTCCACTGCTGGGCTGGCTTCATGGGGAAAAGACCTTCCGAATCAACTTTCATCTTTCAAAGACTATCAAAACATGGTAGGAAGCATTCGTGGCAACAAAAAAGCAAGATACCTCCCTCTCCTCCAAAGCAAGTAACATGATCAGTGAAAATCCATAAATGAAATAAAGAAATCATTTCATCCATGTACTTTAAATCATTACCATTAATTATTATTGTCCTAATTTTACTGCACACCTACCTTTTACTACCCATATTATTTCACCTTGACAAAGCAACTGATTGGATTGATAAACTTCCCAAATACTTTTAACTATTTCATTTTGCAAAAGCAACGTCTTTCATTGTACACCATTTCTATATCTGATGACCCTGAATTATTGTACAATTCACACCAATTCTACTGATATGACAGTTTGTTTATGGCATAAAGAAGCTAAAAGAGTTTTAATGTATTAAGTATCTGCTGAAATGATGCTATAAACATAGAAATGGAATTGGTGCAAGTGCCACTCTTTTCTGAGGAGGGATTTATCTTTCACATTTTCATAGACCAGTACATTTAATGGAAATACTTCTCTGAAAATTTTGGCTAACTGATTTTGTATGATAAAATGTTCACCCCCATCACTTTCTTTGCTAGGGAACAAGTCCTGCAAGGAGCAGTTGAGGGAACTGGGGCTGTTAAGCCTGGAAAAAAAGGGGCTCACGGCAGACCTTATTGCTCTCTACAATTACCCGAAAGGAGGTTTTAGCGAGGTGGGTGTCAGGCTCTCCTCCCAAGTGACAAGTGATAGGAAGACAGGAAATGGCCTCAAGTTGTACTAGGGGAAGTTTCGATTGAACATTAGGAAAAATTTCTGCATCGAAAGGATTATAAAGCATTGGAGCAGGCTGCCCAGGGAAGTGGTTGAGTCACCATCCTTGGAAGTATTTAAAAGACACGTAGACATAGCGCTTAGGGACATGGTTTAGTGGTGGACTTGGCAGTAGGTTTACAGTTGGACTCGATGATCTTAAAGGTCTTTTCCAACCTAAATAATTCTATGGTTCTATATCCCTGAAGATATATGGTAGGAAGCACAGTTCACACAAGGAGGAAACAGTACCTCAAAACACAAGCAGCATTTCACCACGAGAAAGACGTTTGCAGGGCAGAGCTCCACATCTTTTCCCAACAGCATGCACTCTGTTAGCGATATGTGTTCCTGACACCCAGACCAAAACCCTTTACAACACAGAAGCAATGACTTATTTTAAAAATGTCATTCCGCTACCCTTATTCTGCAAGGAGCTCCTCTGTGTTGACTAAGACTGCTATCTAGCACCATGATATTGCACTGGATGAGTATATGAGGTGCCAGCCCTGCAAGGTTTTAATGTGCCTGGTATTCCTGCAGCTGGTGGTAAATGAGCAGTGTAGAGAACTGAAGTTAGATATTTAGGTGCAAGTCCCCGACAACACTCCTGTTGGCCATGCAAGGAAGGATTGCTTCTTGCTCACCTTGAAGAGACTCTGTGCCACCCTCCAGTTTTCGAAAGACATATCATTAGCTTTGATCCATTTGCAGACCTCGTTTCCACAAATTTAAGTAAGCGTACCAAAGAAATCTATGTGCAACGGCTCTTGAGAGGAGACAGAAATAACAGTCCTGGTTGCCATTGATACGAGCTGTATTCGAACCTCAGGAAAGCCTCAGTTCCTCAGTGCAAACTCCATTTTGGCAAGTATCGCCACTGCCTTTTGCTGGCTTCATTAGTTTGTACTCGGGAGGTGTGGGTGGATGATCTACTTAGCGATATGGTTT